GTTATATTATAGCTTATTTTGCAATGCTTCTATCGTGTTAATCTTTTTTATTAAAAGATTGATGAGGGATCCACTCAAAACATTGAATCAAGCTACGTTTTAGCCATTCGATCATTGGTAGCGTTTCATTTTTCTCCGGCTCATGTGTTCTACATCCTTTGACAGTCAACGCAATGAAGCGTTAAATTCTGAAATCAGCTGTGCACAACTTGAAAACAAACTCGTCGAAACAAAACGGTATGCCTATGTCCACAATGAGTAACTCAAATTATAGTCGCAGATTTCGAAAAATCGTTTATGCACACTTCCTTGCCATTTGGAATAGCGATTTGACGTTTTTCAGAAAAAATACATTTCCATCCTGAAATAATTTGTAACTTTTGTCCGAAATTTTCTTCACTGAGCCCAGCGGACTGGGTGAACCGAGTAGGGTACAGCTGCAATTTTATACAGTTTCCAGGTGAATGAAATCTGTGTTCCAAACGTTATTATAGCCGGGGTGTATGGAGAAACCATAAACGCCGAGACGAATAATAAGTTCTACAAAAACAAATTAGATCAAACTGATTTCTTAACTGAACGTCTACCGGATGTTTTACGAGACAAACCTCCCATTTTAGTAGATTCTTTTCTTTAGCGACCTGAAACTTGTCTTCTTGAAGCCCACTAATATTATTTATCTATCTGTTCATCCACATTTCGGTCTATCTATCTATCTATCTATCTATCTATCTATCTATCTATCTATCTATCTATCTATCTATCTATCTATCTATCTATCTATCTATCTATCTATCTATCTATCTATCTATCTATCTATCTATCTATCTATCTATCTATCTATCTATCTATCTATCTATCTATCTATCTATCTATCTATCTATCTATCTATCTATCTATCTATCTATCTATCTATCTATCTATCTATCTATCTATCTATCTATCTATCTATCTATCTATCTATCTATCTATCTATCTATCTATCTATCTATCTATCTATCTATCTATCTATCTATCTATCTATCTATCTATCTATCTATCTATCTATCTATCTATCTATCTGTCTATGTGTATATATTTTACTGACGAGATGGTTATCTTTCCAGTGCATTTTCAGGATAAAAAGAGAGATCCGGAATCGCCTGGTTTTACAGATCACTCAGGTCAACCTTGGTTCATTTGGCCGACATTCGTGTAAGACCCTGTGCATAGAGCTCAAAACAGTGCACGCAACAGTTGCCATGTCGCCTTAAGGTATCATACCAACCATTATATACATTTAACTTTTTCAGCCAGACATTTCTCGCGCACATCCGTTTTTCTTGTACTACTTACCACATACCTTTGGGTAACTCTGATTAAAGCATGTGACAACCGGAATCCAACTGTCAACCTGGACCAGAGTTAGTTTTTTTATCTATGAGTGTTTTTTTTATCTTCCGAATTATCAAGAATACAATGTAACTCTGGTTAAAGCATGCGACAACCGGAATCCAACTGTCAACGTGGACGAGAGTTAGTTTTTTTTATCTATGATTGTTTTTTTATCTTCCGAATTATCAAGAATACAATGCCATTCTCGTATTTAACCAAAGACAGTCAGCACCAAAGGTTCCTTTCAAAATTTCTGGCTACTATTTTAAGTCCGTCGGTCTGTACTGCTGCTAATGGTTCTTTCTAGTGGTGCAACATTATGCTTGGAAGTTCATCCGCAAAAGTTTGTTTTGTGCTACACACGGATGTACACATCTTCCGTACAACATTAAAACAATGCTATAACTTGGTGACACGGCGTTTTATTGATATCGAAAGGCTTTGATGGCTGAGTCTAGTATCCCATTGAATTCCATACATACTGTACGCTATCACATTCAGGCCATTCGGTGGCTCGTACCAGCTGATCACGTGCTCGACGCTATATCCTAGAGTGTACATCGATTCAAAGTCCTACACGCTGCGAACTGTCTACTTTGATCCAGCTGTTTCGAGCAATCCAGTTACCTAAATAGTGTTTTTCCTAATGGGAAATATACCTCAAATGAAATAGGTTCTTAAATACATGCAGGATAGGCTATCGGACATTGAAGAATGAGCTCCGAAGGCAGAAACTATGTGGATAGATGGCAATCATAGCCACCTCTTTCTACTTCCATTCCAGTACTGACTTCGCGAGATCTCAGGTTAAATGCAAATTGATTTCAATGATGTTTCCCCATGGATTTCAACTTGAAATTTTTGTCAAACCATCATTTGAGGCAGAGAAACATCAAATAGTGGTAACATTAGTTTGAACACTCTGGTGGAGGTTTTCTGTCTGCTACTAGATCATTTTAAAAAACTGCGAGATTTACTTGAATCCGAAGAACGGATCATTTGAGATTTCGGAATAAATTTGCATTAGTTACCAAAAAACTTATTCTAGTCCGGCAAATTTTCCAAATTTGTTTCACTGGTCGTTTCACCTGGTTGTTTCACCTGGTCGGACAAATTATTTCGATCTTGGTTGAACAATTTACATTCAACTGAATCTTTGCTGCTATCTTTCCAACACCATGTCATTCATGTTTTCCAGGGTTGAAGAAATAAAAATTCAGTAGTGGATTTTTTCTACTCATAACTGCAGTTTCGCGTTCCATTGATTTTCAGGACGCGCACACTGTCAAGGTTCTTAGCTAGAACGAAACGAATGTGAAGTTTCCTCGGTATTTCAGCACAGAGAATAGAGAAATGAAACACATGGCTAGATCCCCTAAATAAACTCGCTTGCGACACAATGCCATTTTTTCAATTCGTAGTTCCACCTTTATCCCGCTGGTGGTGAGCTTATTTCCGAATGACTGTGCTTGTTGTAACTCATCGATTTGTTGAACATCTGTGAGCTGAAACGCCTGACTTCGACCCATGTTAACTATGGTACTGCGATATCCCGAATATCGTGCCAACTGAATCATGAGATGGCCTGTGTGCAGCACATTCAGTTGTAGAATATCATAAACGAGAGATTCAGTTGAGTCTCCCGTGAAAACGAAATTGATCTGCAAATGAGTGTATTTCTCAAAAACAGTCCGATTTGGGTTCGAGTAGAACATAAAGTTGACGGAAAATTGGGGACTGCCCCTACCTGATGGGCCCCAAGAAGGGTGAGACCGGTCTTGTGTTGTTGAAGAGTTTTCAGCAACCTTATGAAACTATGATACTTGTTCCCAGGTTATCCTCTCTCCTGACTAGGGGACACATTGCCTGACTCAACTGAATCGACCCAGTTTCTGAGCCGCAAAATGTATGAGACGAGTAGTAATACAAGTAGATGGCCATACCACTGAAGGTTAATGTGTACCATTCTACGAAAGGTCCTGAGCTATGTTTATAAGGTCAAAACACACCCTATCAGGAATATGAGAACATGCAGCTGTCCATGTGTTAGACGGAATCCCGCACTAAAGCCGCTTTACCGCTGGCAGATAGGCACTGTTACAGTCAAGAATCCTATCCCGCAATCTATTGGCTAGAATATCGAGCCGCTTGCCAGTCCAGCATCAAGCCGGGTTCTGATTGGTGGAAACTATGGAAACAATAGCCAATCATGATTCAGAATTTGCCGCATGCCGGATGTCACCGGCGAGTCCAGAAGGCATCGTCTCATGCACTTTAAATAAGACCCGCTGCATATGTTTCCGACGTAGTTTTCAGCGTTAAATTTTTGTACACCTCTGGTGATTATATTTCCAAAAACGCTTGATGGTAGGGTTCGGGCGTAGAAATGAGCCGAGACACTGCCGTTATCACACCACATGAATTGTTCCTCTGAAGACACTTAGTTAAAACTAAGCTCAAGATTTACCGAGCAACTCATCTTTATGATCACTTCAAACTGCGACTTACTGTCCGCTGAGGGACTTTTCACGTCATCAGGATCCCGTGTGACAAGAGTAAGCATGATGAAACATGTTACGAGGGTGGAATCCAATGTTTTGCAAGCCACACACAAGTTTTGTTTGTTTCCTAGAGACAATACTCGCTAGGCAGAAACCTCACATATATCATCAGTACCGTAGATGCCAGCCGGGGAGATGATTCTGGAAAGATCGCTCTCAACGAACAACTTTCACGTAACCAGATCCGCGTAAGACCCTTGTGTATTGTCGTCATACTCTTATCACAGTGGAGAAAGACCAAGACGATTCCCTCACGTGTGGCCAGTAGTTTCTCAATGCTGTGACCAGTTTTTGTCAAGACTCTGGCTGACTCACTAGGTCATGAGATTTTCAAACACAGTTGCGGTTTCGTACTTCATTAGGAGCTTGCATACAGTTAACTAAGGTGGATATTGTATATTTTCAAATTTACCCGAACGTTTTGCCAGCTCTGACCACTTATGGGTCTCCAGAATGAACTCAAAGACGCCGGACGTTTTTTTGAAGAAATCTGTTTTTCAGAACTCGATGGCTCCGTTCGATTTAAGTGAGTCTGCATGGACAATGGAAGTGAACCCGGAAAACTGTCACCCCGTGACATCCCGTTTTTATCTTCACAGTAATAGGTACAACGCCCGATGCACCTGTATTTATTATCTACGGGTAAGTAGTAGCTGCCCTTGACAAGTTCTACCTAGCGAACAAAAGTCCAGTTTACCTCATTCGTGATTCCTACGGAGCAAATTGTTTCAAGTTTACGAAAATCCGTGCAGTGCGTTACCTCGCAGTCAGTACTACTTAGCGTTTCCAAGAGAGAGATATGAAAAGGATGTTTCGGCGTAAAGTGATGAATCAACTTCCATCTGCTTTCGGAGTAAAATTTCATTAAATGCAAGTTCCTCTGGTTCCTGGTTTGTCTGTTTTGAACTTCAGCCAGTGCTCTGCTATTCTGTCCACTGTGAAGTACCGTAAAAATCGCATATGCGACATACTTCGTGATCAGACTATCCCAATCGACCCATTGGGCTTCAGGCTACCTTCGATTAGTTTTAAATGGCTTTGCAATCATGTGTTCTTTATTTCCAGCCATCTGCCTGATACCGCTCATATTGATTTTCGTACTTGGACTCATATGCACTCCGAGGAAAAGTTTGGAGGATTTGGAAGACGAAGAAACTAACCAACTGAAGGTGAATTCCCCGCTGTCAAGAACCTCATCCTCAGCCTCGGCCTCTTCATGTGATTCACCCCGCTCCACGCATTCTGCAATTGCGATCTCCCATCGCCTCACCAATGATATTGTTCCACGTGCATCGTCAAATCCCGATTTGCCTGCGGCAGACCGGATACATACTGTTGTGATTAGCGAACCAGTCAGTCTCGACTGTCAACGCCAAATCTCTGCGATCCACTATTTCAACCATTCGCGGGGTGTTGGACGAATTTCTGTCGCACCTATCTTACCAACGTCGTCTCAAGGACAACCGTTATGTTTCCCTCGTGACGTGCGGATTGTAAGCTTCAAGCTCCCTGAAGAGACCACGGGTGATCTCGGTGCATCCAGTGAGTGTGAGCCTTTTCTGTCCGGATCGACGAAACTACGTATATCACTTGCCTTTCCAGTAACCACAAAAGGCACAATTTTTCAGTAGCCCGTAAGCTGTTGATCATAAACTACCATCTTCCCAAAGTAAACTGATTTGTAAAATTAAGGAATTTCGTGGCAAGACATCGGTAGTTAACACTTCAACAGCTAACCATGGAATTGCTATTGTCATAATTTTTTTATTATTTTGTATTCCTTACTCCGTATCATGCAGTCGGATAAATCGTTGTCGTCGTTCACTGGGTTTGAACACCATTCAACTTTATCTAGTTCATTTAGACGTACTGTGGAAATTTTCCTACTAAGACTAAACACCCTCCAATGAATCCTGTACAGATTAACGGCTCTTCGACAGAATCACACACGAAATTGTAAGTAAATGGGATATTGTTAAGAAATTTCATAAAAGCGGTCTTTCAGTTAAGTGCAGCTGGTGAGGAGATAGCTATATTTCGGATAAATCTACGTTGAAGTGTGTTTTGTCCGAAGAGATACGACTTAGGAGAAAAACAGTGCTAACCAGAGAGTCTACAAGAAATTATCGTCACCAAATTCTTTGGAAACCTACCACGCTCTGTTTCGGACATGCCGAATCAGGTTACACGCCAGAATATTTTTTGCTGGTCAAGGAAAGCAGGCAGCTGAGTGCGTTTGATGGTCTAGCACAATAAATGTTTCTCCCTCCAACTTCGTTGGCTTGGATTTATCTCGATAATTTTACACGACTCTAGCCCAGTTCTCAAGCCAGATTTGGGGACATTGGCAACGGTGATGATACTAATGAATTCAGGGTGGATAGTTGACTGTTCGTCCAGCCCACTTACGCATTACTGAGCCAACACAAGCCATATCAACATCGTAAATCGGATCTGGGGAAAACGAGGGGTTTCCTTCAATTTTACTAGGGATTTTACCCAGCCAATTAAGACAAGCTACGTTTAAAATCCCAGGATCAATGCACAGCTGCCTCATCCTTGTTAGGAAACATCGTCATTGCGCATCTCATGGAAATTCAACGCAGAGTATCGAACCCACCACCTCCCGGCTATTAGGTTAAACACTAAAAGTTTGGCTACAAGTGGCTGGTCATTCATGTGATCATCACGCGCTAAGGCAGGATATAGCTTTGCTCGCGCTGCTTTTCAGCTTTTTAGCATACCTCATACCTCTCTAGCCTCACATTGATTGTACAGCGGTTAATCTCTGGCCTCAAAAACTCAAGCAGCTGATCCAGGGGCTCTATAGTGTTTTGATAAAGTCGTGCTGAGGGTTACCGGAGCTGAAGCAGGTTTCTTACCTTGTGAGAGAAGCAAGAAAATCTCCTCAAGTTAAGCCAGCAAATTTCTGATGCGCATCATCACTTAAATTCAGGATTGTGACCATTTATATCTGATCAACTTCAGCCGTTATTCCTTCGGTTATCCCTCACAAAGTCAACTCTCGTCTGCCTGATGAGGAAGTTCGTCGTCTTGTCTTATTAGAACCACTTCGAACACGATACCGAAAAGTGAGCTCATTCTCCAAGGACCCTCCATCTGTCTCTCCTCATATGCTCCGCTTCAGACAAGTTCTATCCGGTACAGACGACAGCGCTTGCCCAGAGCACACTTCTTTGTAGGCAAAACATATTCATTTTGTTGAAAAGTTGTGTTAACCGTACCTGATGTAATCAGACCAATGCAGAAGTGTTCCAAACGAAAAGCGAGAAGCTTGTACTTCAAAATTAATATTTTATTTGAAAAAATTTTCTTGAACACAAACTTATCAGCTTGCGATGGACAATGCCACATAGGTGTAGCCTTCCAAGTAAATTATTGTTTTACGGTGATCTGAGTAGTTTTCATAATTTTCAATAGGAGCCAATCAACATGTGACCACGTGATATTGTCTCCTTGAGTGAATGATGATTGGCGCCATGTCCTGTCTAAGGGAGTGCCATTCACATGGCTAATCAGCTGCTCGTGACCAAACGGACAAGGGTTCAGCTACTGGTCTGAAGGTCGGAACTCTCAGAGTTTCGTGAAATGCTCACTATTGACGATACTCAATAATGGTGAAACGGTTGTACAGTGTATTTCGCTAATTTCATGCAATTTGGTCTCAAGCAGAACATAAGGCTGACGGAAACTCAGAGACCATGCCTCTCTGGTGAGTCCCAAGAAGGGCGAAACCGGTCTCCGGCTGTCGAAGAATTTTCAGCAACCTTATGGGTAGTATTACGTCTATAGCTGTACAGTACTTTCCGGCTTTTCAGCATACATTGGCTTCAATTACAAGATAAAATCTCAAATGGGAGTTAACAAATCTCCTCACACTACCATCAACAGGAATAGTGCTTGAAAAACTTTTACATCGATTAACTTTTCCTTTCTCTCTCCTCGGTTCTCGTTCAAGCACACTGTTGTTTTCTCAGCACACCTTCATTTGCTTCTCTTATCCTATCCACGAAACTTGACCACTTGATCACCATAAAATTCTCTCCCCAGGGTATCCAGTGCAGACAAACTCTCCGTAACATGTTTAAGTGGTTAACCAGTCTATGGGGGGGGGCATTTTGTTCCCCACTTGCAAGTTATACAATTAGTTCGTAGTCAGTCTCACCGCGAGACCGTAAATGCCTAATTCTCCAGTTACCGAAAGACAAATTGTGTTTATCAGCGTGAACATGAGTGGTTTGCCACTCTCTCGTGGTCACACTTTGGGAAAGGAAATGCGTGTATGTGTTTTCCGACACTTCATCGGAAACAGGGATGGCACGTGTTTACTGCATATGTTTTGTCTTGTGCAAAATAAGCATCTCGCCTGGTTCCGACTAATACACTCATTTGCGAATCGATTCGGTTGTCACGGGAAACCCAAGTGAATCTCTCATTACGTTCTTAAGCATCTCGCCTGGTTCCGACTAATACACTCATTTGCGAATCGATTCGGTTGTCACGGGAAACCCAAGTGAATCTCTCGTTTATGACGTTCTTCAACTCATTGTGCTGCACACAGTCCGCCTCATGTTTCAGTTGATGCGATATTCGAGATTTCGCAGTATATCTTCACAAAGGAAACTACTCGCGAGGTTGCTTAAAACTCTCGGACAACCCACGATCAAGTCCAATTCGGGTCGTGGGCTGTCGAAGAGATTTCAGCAACCTTTTGGGTAGTTTCCTTTGTGCTAGCCTGGTTCTCGTTCAAGTTCCAAGACCACTGCATGAGAGCTGGTCACACTTGTTCTCTAGCCATCATTTTAGAGGATCTCCCTTTTCCCTCAAACTTATTCATACCTGACTTTACCTCCGTCGGTCAACTAGTGAGAACTCGCGTGTCACTGTCAGTACAATTATCATTCAATTTTTGAAGAGCATAGTCACAAACATAAAAAGTGAGTGCAAGCGATGAATGCGAAAGAGTAACAGGAGAATATGGGAGAAAAGAGAGAAACGTCTCATTCGAAATCATGCCAAGGACAGTGCCAGTCTGATGAGGTGAATCCCAAAGTATGTAAAGATTTTGGTATGGGAACAGGCGTCTAAAGACTAACAACCAAAGAAAGGACAAACAATGGTGAATGCTCTTCAAGGCGCAGTATGCGCTAGCACAGTCAAAACTCGCACATCAGGCACAAAGTGACCGTCATACTGGGTCTGGGGTGAGATTAAATGGCAAAAATGTACCTTCAACGCCATGTGCCACGCATAAAAGTGTCATAAGTACGCAGGGAGCCCACAATGGCAAGCAAACACAAGTCACTGACTGCGACCTTAGGAAGTCCCAGTCCAATAACAGCCCTTCAGTGATGCTGCAGAAACTAGACTGTTAAACTGTGAACACAAGATGACCGTTGAGCCCGTTGTTCGGAGTCCGTGGGTCACCTCAGTAGGTGTAGAACTTGATCACGATCACCTCTCAACTGCTGATCATGTCATTACGGTAGCCATCTTTATCGCTCTTTTCTTCTTTGCCTCTAACGTCCATTCTTTGGTGAATCGATGGATAAGAAATGGGTGAACAAAAGCTCACAGAAACAACCATTGTAGAATGCGTCTGCGCTGGATAAAACAAAACTCGTCTTGTAGGCAATCGCAGGAGTTGTTCACTTTGTAGTCACTTCACACACATGTAGGAAGAGTCATCTACTCCTTTGCCGTGTAGGAGCTTGGGTCCTGAGCATGTTGTGTGCGAGGCAAGCGTACAGCCATCACCTCACCAGACCAAGCTTGATGAGCTTGAAAAGGCAAGTGTTATCGCTAAAATTTGTGAAGGGTTTGTGCAACAGCTTGACCTACTATCGAAATGTTTTCCTGATATGGCCGGTAGATTGGTTCATCCGTTGAGAATTCCGTGTCACGTGACACGTGAAAATTGTCGGACAGTTTTTGGCCAGGTTTATGTGCTTGCAGTATGTGTAGTACTGGGATCCACGTCTGTTTCGTATTCCTCACTGTTGAGCAGCTGCTAGAGGATTCAATCAAAACGCAACCATGTTACATGAATCTGGTAATTAACGGACTGGTGGCGCTATATTATGTTAGCCTACTACATGTGGCTAAGAAATTTCACACCCAACCACCAACCAGAAAGTAGTGAGCTTCACTCTCTCAAACGACTTGTCAGGTGCATCCGAATATAGGTGAGTTAGCTATACGTGATGGAATGACTCTGTCTTGTAGAAGAAAATCCATCACCTCACCAGACCAAGCTTGATGAGCTTGAAAAGGCAAGTGTTATCGCTAAAATTTGTGAAGGGTTTGTGCAACAGCTTCACCTACTATCGAAATGTTTTCCTGATATGGCCGGTAGATTGGTTCATCCGTTGAGAATTCCGTGTCACGTGACACGTGAAAATTGTCGGACAGTTTTTGGCCAGGTTTATGTGCTTGCAGTATGTGTAGTACTGGGATCCACGTCTGTTTCGTATTCCTCACTGTTAAGCAGCTGCTAGAGGATTCAATCAAAACGCAACCATGTTACATGAATCTGGTAATTAACGGACTGGTGGCGCTATATTATGTTAGCCTACTACATGTGGCTAAGAAATTTCACACCCGACTACCAACCAGAAAGTAGTGGGTTTCACTCTCTCAAATGACTTGTCAGGTGCACCCTAACATGAGTGAGTTAGCTATACCGTGGTCCTTGTATCTTCGTGATAGAATGACTCTGTTTTGTAGAAGAAAATCCACTGATCAAGGGAACTGTACCATGATTTCGGTTTTTTCTCTGTCATACACTTCGAAAACTACTCAGAGCTGGTTTATCCTTCAACCTTTCCAAATAAATCCATCCCTATGTCCTCTTGTTTAAGCAGCCGGAAATCATAAAAAGGCTCAAGATTTCTCAACAACAATCAAGACCAATATTGACGGAAAGGTCGAAAGTGGTATCAAAGTAGAAAAGACGTTTGGAGCGGAGAACAACGCTTTCGCCTTGCCGGCACATTTTGAGATGGCAGCAGTTCGGATACGTGACAAAACTGAGCAGGTTTTTCAAGAACAACAGAGTAGGTTGTCCAGAAAGTCATTTTTCTATATTTTGTTATAATCCTTGTAGATATTTCCTTTTTAATTGTGTAGGGAACCTCAATGCGACGCGATAGTCGCAGGAGGCTTTTTGAGTGTGTCTCATGTGCAACAAGCCCAGTATGAATGGCGCAGAAAAGCCTCACAAGTAGAGAAAATAGTTCTGGATTCGCCCAACTACTTACTAGCACATGTTAGCAATGCGCTTTCCCGTCAGATTCTCATGAGTTTGTTGGAATCTGTGTTCTAAATTTTCAACACACAAAAACAACATCATGATTGGGAATTACGCGGTCCAGTGTGTAGTTCTAATAATTTTACAAATCTATCAGGCATTATAAGTTCTGTAATGGCAAAACGATTTGAAACTATCAACTTTTCAAAAATGTGCTCAAACTACAGTGACGTTTTGAATGGAGAATACAGTGCATACACTGGACGCAGTCACTCTGTGCTCCTACCCACAATCTGGCAGAGTGTCGAATATTCGGTCATACGCCTGAAAATTTCTCTGAATTTCCCTTCATTGCGGTGGGTCATTTCCGATGGTCTGACATTGAAGCGGGATAAAGGTTCCGTTAGTGAGGATGATGTTATTACCATAAATTATTCAAATTTAAAACTAGGACATCACACTTGCTTTTGAATTTTTTAACCATATCACTGATTCGACCATTTCATCTCAGGCGATAGGCTACGGAACGATTACCTATACAGTAAATTTTGGAATCAGTGCCGCGTTCCCGGGTTTTACTCTTCTGTTCCTGTTTGATGTGTCACCCCATTTGGTGTCAAAACTGCACAGCGTTTATCGAGGACATTTTTATTTCGCCGATGATTTGGGAGGGGATAGAGTTGAATAGTTGTATATTGGAGGTAGTAGCTAATATAACCGATTTGAAGCTCTAGGAGGGACAGAGGGCTTTGCATTGAGTCGAAGCTATTTATTGCAGACGGCAAATTGGTTACATGCGAACCACTGATTGCGCGAACGAGCCGTGCCCCAAACTATCGATGTGTCCCATCCGGGCACACGTCAGTGACCAGCACAACTGAGTTTGCGGTTGATAGCTTCCCTACTCTCATCATCATCCTCCTCCTCAAAGATAGCAATATCAGTGTAGGCACTGATGCTTCCCTGCCGTACAACCATAAGGTTCATCTAGT